GGCCGGCCATGTGGCCAGATGACAAAAGTGTCATCCACGTACCTCTTCCATAAGGTTGGGCGCAGAGTGGCAGTCTGGATGGCGTCAGTCTCAAATTTCTCCATGAAAATGTTAGCTATAACTGGAGAAAGGGGGGAGCCCATTGGGGTGCCCTCAGTTTGTTTGTAGAAAGTTCCATTCCAAGTGAAGTATGTATTGGTTAAACAGTGTCTCACCAGGGGGGGTACCTCAGTGTTTAGTCCTTGATGAACCAAGTCTTCAATGATTGCAATGGTGTCAGGTACAGGAACCTTGGTGAATAAGGAAACTACATCAAAACTGACAAGCAGGTCGTCTGGGGACAGGGAAATACCCTTGATTGTTGATACCAGGTGAGTAGAATTTTGTACCGCAGAGGTGGTCTTTCCAGTGAAAGGACGCAGGATTTCAGACAAAAAACGAGCTAGTTTGTAGGTGGGGGAGCTGATAGTAGAGACTATGGGACGAAGAGGTGTATCAACTTTATGTATTTTTGGTAAGCCGTATAATCTTGGTGGCCTGGCAGCAGAAGGTTTCAATGAAAACTGTTTAGATTGATCAATTAATGCGGTTGAATCAGAAATTATTTTGTTGGTTTGTGTGACGAGGCTGTTGGTGGGATCTCTTTTTATTTTTGTATAACTACCATCGTCGAGTAATTCTTTAATTTTGTTGTTGTATTCTATTTTATCCATGATAACAGTAGCATTGCCTTTGTCAGCTGAGAGAACTACAATATCATTCCTCTTTTTTAATTTATATAATTCAAAACGCTCATTTTTGCTGAGGTTGCTAGCTGGCATCTTAGCGTTTTTGAGGGTTGCAGCGATTTCAGATCTTGCTACGTCTGCAGCGATGTGACCCAGGCCCCTGAGAGCAACGTCTACTTGGGCAATTATATCATTAACTGGTATGTGTTTAGGTGTGACTGCAAAGTTTAGACCTTTAGCTAAAACGGATTTCAGACCATCGGAAATAGAACTGTTACTGCGATTAATTACGACTTTATTAACGTCTAACTTTTTGGTGTGTGGGTCCGGTCTTTTGTTGAATAGGAGGTTAAATTTGGAAATCAGGTTTTCCTTACATTTGGTCGACATAGTAGCAGCTGAAGAGGCAGTCATATTGTCTACATGTTCCCAATCCGATGTGGACATTATTGCCGTCAATGATAAGTGTGATTTGTAGAGTGTCTTGTCTAACTGATCTAGTTCTGTGCGTATAAGTCTGATTTTTTCTGAGATAAGAGCTAAGCTAGTTTTGAAAAGAATTCGTTTCGCATTAGAAGAAGTTACAGTAGCAGAGGTGAGTGTAAATGCGATTGGTATTACCCCAGAGTCGCGGCATCTCTTCAGGAAGGTGAGAGACTCGATCAGCTGAGCTTTCTTATCCCGGAGTTTGTTGAAGGATCTTAAAGTTATGTGAAAACCCTCCCCGTAGAGGCGATTAATTTTTGATTTAAAGCTTTCGTGACTGCAGTAATTCATATTCTTAGTTTTTTCGGTAAAGTCACGTTGAAGAGAAACAACAAAATAACAAAATATATATAAAACAATAAAAAATTCTCACGACGTTTCGACCATAACTCAAACGGTCATCATCAGGTGTGTCGGTTTGCATAAATTTATTTTGAAAACGGCATATTTATTTATTTATATATATATAAATAACGTTTGCGTCACGCGCAACGATTGGCTGTTTGCCAGGACTAGTCCATCTATTTTTTGAAAAGAGGAGGGGGGAGACGAAATTTGTTTTTATGTATGCTGTCTGAAAGCCACTGTAAGCGTGAACAATCAATCAAGAACTGAAATGATTTATCAAATCTTTCCAATGATTGCTAAGATAGAATCCATCTTCTCAGTTGAAATTGTCTCTGTGTTTGTATATGTGGATAGCCTCATGAACGAATCTCTCATGGAAGCCAGATGGCTTACAAAGAACCTCCGTCTTGGAAAAGTCAATGGCATGTGAGCCTACTGAATTAGAACAATGATCTGCTACGGCCGAGGTGTTGGTCCTACCGTGTTTAAGGTCTGCTTTATGTTCACGAATGCTATTGTAGTTCTCTCAGCTGACAAAGGCAATGCTACTGTTATCATGGATAAAATAGAATACAACAACAAAATTAAAGAATTACTCGACGATGGTAGTTATACAAAAATAAAAAGAGATCCCACCAACAGCCTCGTCACACAAACCAACAAAATAATTTCTGATTCAACCGCATTAATTGATCAATCTAAACAGTTTTCATTGAAACCTTCTGCTGCCAGGCCACCAAGATTATACGGCTTACCAAAAATACATAAAGTTGATACACCTCTTCGTCCCATAGTCTCTACTATCAGCTCCCCCACCTACAAACTAGCTCGTTTTTTGTCTGAAATCCTGCGTCCTTTCACTGGAAAGACCACCTCTGCGGTACAAAATTCTACTCACCTGGTATCAACAATCAAGGGTATTTCCCTGTCCCCAGACGACCTGCTTGTCAGTTTTGATGTAGTTTCCTTATTCACCAAGGTTCCTGTACCTGACACCATTGCAATCATTGAAGACTTGGTTCATCAAGGACTAAACACTGAGGTACCCCCCCTGGTGAGACACTGTTTAACCAATACATACTTCACTTGGAATGGAACTTTCTACAAACAAACTGAGGGCACCCCAATGGGCTCCCCCCTTTCTCCAGTTATAGCTAACATTTTCATGGAGAAATTTGAGACTGACGCCATCCAGACTGCCACTCTGCGCCCAACCTTATGGAAGAGGTACGTGGATGACACTTTTGTCATCTGGCCACATGGCCGGCCTGCTCTAGACCAATTCTTCGACCACATCAATTCCATACACCCAGCCATCAGATTTACCATGGAAGTCGAAATAGATGGCAAGATACCTTTTTTGGATGTCCTAATTAAAAAGAGACCTGATGGTTCAATGAGCCACTCTGTCTACAGGAAAGCTACCCATACGGATGCTTATCTGAAACCGGATTCCCACCACCATCCATCACAGAAGAATTCTCTCATCAAGACTCTGTATCATAGAGCCCAATGCATATCCGACCAGGAACACATAAGCAGTGAACTCAAGCACGTACACCAAGCTCTTAGGGCTAATGGTTACTCCGACTATACAATCCGCAAAGCTATCACTCAAACCATGAAGAAGAACCCTCTTGAGGAGCCTTTCAAAACCATCACTTTACCCTACATTGCTGGGATCACAAAAAAGATCTCCAAAATCTTGAATAAACACAAGATCCAGGTCCGTTTCAACACATTACATAAAATCCGTGATCTGGTTCCGTCTGTAAAAGATGTGATTCCGGACATACAATACCCTGGTGTCTACAAACTAAGTTGCCTCTGTGGTAGTAGTTACATTGGAGAAACCAAACGCCATATCTCGGACCGCATTCGTGAACATAAAGCAGACCTTAAACACGGTAGGACCAACACCTCGGCCGTAGCAGATCATTGTTCTAATTCAGTAGGCTCACATGCCATTGACTTTTCCAAGACGGAGGTTCTTTGTAAGCCATCTGGCTTCCATGAGAGATTCGTTCATGAGGCTATCCACATATACAAACACAGAGACAATTTCAACCGAGAAGATGGATTCTATCTTAGCAATCATTGGAAAGATTTGATAAATCATTTCAGTTCTTGATTGATTGTTCACGCTTACAGTGGCTTTCAGACAGCATACATAAAAACAAATTTCGTCTCCCCCCTCCTCTTTTCAAAAAATAGATGGACTAGTCCTGGCAAACAGCCAATCGTTGCGCGTGACGCAAACGTTATTTTTATATATATAAATAAATAAATATGCCGTTTTCAAAATAAATTTATGCAAACCGACACACCTGATGATGACCGTTTGAGTTATGGTCGAAACGTCGTGAGAATTTTTTATTGTTTTATATATATTTTGTTATTTTGTTGTTTCTCTTCAACGTGACTTTACCGAAAAAACTAAGAATATGAATTACTGCAGTCACGAAAGCTTTAAATCAAGGGTTTTGCCACCAAGTACATGCGTTTTTTCTGGATTTTGTTGTTGCTATTCTGTCTCTCACTGTTCAAACAAACCTACCATTAAAATTATAGACTGATCATTTCTTCGTACAAAATCAGCAAGGGGATCAATAACTTTTTTCCCCTCACTGTATGAGATGATAATTCACTTATATGGGACACTGTCAGCCAAGTCCATCGCAAATGATAATGAATGAACTTCCACCACGCGCTATCGCGCGATCCATACCACGGGGGCTCACAAGCCACTGGCACAAACTTCGACTCACCGCGCCTGCTGCTGCTGCTGCTTCAATAAACCCACGCGAACGGCGCTCGGTCATTCAAAGACGAAGATTTCCCCGAGTATATCGTGTTGATGGCAAGTGCCGTTAGCGAGCAGCAGCTATGGAGGCCGGAACGGCACAACGAGGGGGTGGTTGTCTTCCCAGTGCTGGATGTTTACACACCGCACCAGGTACTCGGTTAAGGCTGAGTGGACGTAGGGGAGGTCCAGGACTGGTTAGGATAACTGTCGCCAGTGTTGAGCGTGAGTGGGAATCGAACTCGGGTCGCCGGCTTTGTAGCTCAATGCGCTAACCACTGCGCCACCGCTACTACCCACGTGTGCCTCCATACACGCGCGTAGACTTACATAGCACACACGTGCAAGCATACAGACACCTACATACAGACACCTACACAACGGCATCATGATCATCACTCTCAGCCGCAGTCTATCCACTGCTGGATGAAGGCCTCCCCACAGCGTCGCCATGCCCTCCACGGTCCGGCGACGTTACAATCCCTGTGCACGTGATCCGATCTCGTCGTCACCCGACGCAGCCAATCTAATTCGATTGGCTGCGTCGGGTGGCGGAGGGTCTTGACGACACATTGGCCAGATCATTGCTTCGCGGCCGAACCCAAAACGACAATAATGAATCATAAACTATGCAGTACGTAGTTTGACAACGTTTACTTTTCAGCACACGTTTACCAACGAAGAGCTACCGGCGCTTGCGATGAAGAGGATGTGCCTCGCTCCTTCGATGACTCACCGCCGGTCTCTGTTCTCAGTTAGCGCCGAGAGGCAGTGTCAGAACGAGCCCTCGTCGATGAAGTCTGGCAGCGCGCGAGCCATCAATTATTGATCATCCGAAAGGTCGGAGAGCGGCCGTTGGCTGGGGTAACGACGGTGCAACGGCGCGGTGTGGCATTTGAGCCGCGTTGGCTCCATCGTGCGCGAGATAAGTCGGCGGTTGGGCTGAAGAAGGAAGAGCAAAACGTCTCAGCTGTCGCCTCCCTACCACCTGACGGAAAAAGGAGAGTGCAACACGGAGATTTGCTTTTGTTTTGGAAAAATGTGAATCTTTGACAAGATTCCACACGAAGGAAGTCAACCCACTTGCTGTACTGGTGCGGCGTGATGGCCTCGCGGTAGCGCGTTCGCCGCTTGTTGCTGATGTACCCGGGTCTAATCCGGCAGGCCGCCCTGGTTAACACTGCAGGCAGGCCGCCTTGGTTAACACCGCGGGTGAATTAACCTTAAATGCCACGCGTCCTCTGCTTCGCAGTAGACGTGGATGTTCCGTGACGTATTTCGGAACGAGTCAGCCACTGTGCCGGCATCATGGTCCACATTTCCAAATTCTAAAAGTTACACCGCAGATTACGCAATTGGGATCACGCAGCAGCAGCAAATCATTGACCCCTACTGTAAGGCCAATGGACTTTTAGCAACACAGTATAAATACCAAGATTATAACAACAACAATTATTACCACGTCATAAATGACGAGCTTTATTCTGACCTACGCACGCAGTACACTGCAAACCCGAGTTCGAGTCCTGGTCACGGCCGTTGAACTGACAGAGGCTAATGATGGATCGGGCGTCATAATACATTTAGCCAGTGGCTCTGCTGCACGTGGCCTGCGATCCAGCACTGCGGAGGCAGGGAGGGTTGGTGGATCACCGCACAACACCCTGCGCCGTTCGAAATAACCGTCGGGGCGCGGTGTTCGACGCCATACACACCGCACGCAAGCAATAACCAGGGTGGTCCGCCGATGGTTCGAACCACGACACTCTGCAGTAAGCGGCGAATAACGCAGAGATTACGATCTGCGGCTGGGGCTCACTGTTATAGCGGCGGCGGCGAAGGCGGCAGGGTCCGCGTTGCTGCCCAGAAACAACAACAACAAAAAACACAGCGGCGGGGAGCAGGAAATGAGATGCTGCGATATTCGGCGGTGGCAATAAAGCATCGCGGAGATATGGTTCACAATGCGCCCGCGGACAGAGGACAGCTGAACTCGTTACAACGCGGCCGGTAGCCGAAACAAATCAATCTAAAACGGGATGATATCGCAGGCGAGCGATCCGAATATATATTTGCATTTGTACATTTTTACCCAACTCAAATTAATTCCATTCTTTTGACCTCGTCTGACATCCCATTTCCACTGCGTGGTTGGTGCTGGGATTGGGAGGCGGCCTGGCAATACCCGGTGTTAAAGTCTTCAGCGGAGAGCTGGCCCAGGAAAATGCCATCAATGCATTCTTGAATCTATCTGTGTGGAGCTTTGCGTGTTATTCCCTTGTATGCTTCACGGGTTTGTATCCGAGTCCTCTGGTTTCCTCCCACACGAAGCCAAACACTCATGAATGAAATTAGCCAAATTTCCCAACACAGCAGGATCCTCCTGAAAAAAAGAGTCTTGAGACTCATTGAGGATTCCTGAATCAAGGGACTGATCAGCATCATCAGCGTCCTAAATCACATTCACACCGACACCCAAGGTGTGCCACTCACAGAGGAGCAGACCACAACTGGGACCATTCCCAGGCCGAGGCGTTCCCCTGGTTAGTGAGGTTTGAGAATTTGCACGAACAGGGCGCTTGCTGAAACGCATCAGCAACCCAGAGCACCTCACGTGAGCCTCATCGCAAGCATTACAACCACGACCACAGCTGCTGCTGCTCCAATCTAGCCGAGGAGACCGCCGGTGGCAGCTACCCCTGCGCGGAACAAGGTGTACATACAGCACGGGGCCGCAAGCCGGCATGCGTCTGCGCGATCCTGGCCACCGCCCGTCACCCGGGCAGCTTGCGGGGCCTCGCGCAGCGCACGGCGGTCAGGAGCTCCTTCTTGAGGCCGTTGTTGAGGAACCCGTAGAGCACGGGGTTGAGGCAGCACGAGATCATGCCCAGCAGGTGGCAGGTGCAGAACACCAGCTTGAAGGCGCCGTTGTCCAGCAGGGAGTCGTCGAAGTCTGTGACCAGGTGGAACACGTGCAGGGGCAGCCAGCTGAGCGCGAACGCCAGGATGACGGCCAGCGACTTGCAGTAGACGGTGCGAGAACGCCTGCGCTTACGCCGGGACGACGCTCGAGCCCAATGCTGCTCGTGGCCCCGAGACTGCTCGTGTTGCTGATCCTGCTCCTGCTGCTGCTGCTGCTGGTGCTGCTGGTGGTGGTGCTGATGGTGGTGGTGCTGGTGGTGCTGGTGGTGGTGATGGAGACTCAGCCGCTCGGGGCCGATCGGGGTCGTGGTCAGCGCCGGTGCCACCTCGCAGCAGATCTCCGAGATGCCCGGCATGGAGTGAGCGGACTGCTCGGAGAGACGGGAGGAGGCGGTGCGGGACACGGGCGCCGCCGCCACCGTCACACCCACTGGGCCCTGGCGTCCGGCGCACGATCTCTTGGTGCCCAGCATCGGCGTGATGCTGGACAAGCGCCTGCCGCACCAGCTCCTCTGCTGCCTCTGCAGAAACCCCTCCCAGCCTCGCTTGGCCCCGCCGGCACCGTCGTCGTCATCATCCTCGCCGTCGTCGTCGTGGTCACCATCGCCGCCGCCCGGTATCCTGTTCTCCTGCGCCGACACGGCCACCAGGGTGATGCGCGTCTGCGGAATCACCGACGCGGCGGCGGACGCGGACGCGGACGCGGCCGCCGCTGCGGCGGCGGCTGCGGCGGTGGTGGAGCTGAGCCGCACGCAGACGCGCGTGTGGCTCGCGGTGAGGCACGCGAGGGGGATGACGTACTGCAGCGTCAGCAGCGCCACCGAGAAGCACACGCGGTCGGCCGCGCGCGGCCACGACTCGACGCACGCGTACCGCGACCTCATGCTGCTCAGCCCCGTCGCCTCGCCCATGTCCTGCAGCGCGTAGAAGGCCGGCACGGGCGCGCACACGCAGGCGCCCAGCAACCACGCGGCGCCGCTCCACGCGAGCCCCGAGCGGCCGCGCGGCTGCGTCGCCAGCGGCCGGCTGATGACGCGGCAGCGCAGCGCGGCGATGGACATGAGCATCAGGGTGGACACCATGACGGCCAGGCACTGCAGGAAGGGCACGGCGCGGCACAGCGCCGGCCCGAACGCCCAGCGGTCGAGCAGCGTGCTGGCGAGCGTGAAGGGCGCGCACAGCAGCGCCACGAGGACGTCGGCCAGCGCCAGGTTCCCCACGAGGATGCTCATAGCCGAGCAGCGGCCGCGGTGGCGCCACACGGCGACCAGCACCGCCGAGTTGCCCGCCACGCCGAAGAGGCACACGAGGGCGTAGGCGACGATGAACGCGTAGCGGACTTCGGCCACGAGGAAGCCCTCGTCTTCCTCCCACTGCAGCTCCTGGGCCCAGGAGCGGCTCGCGTTGGGCGAGGAGGCGTCGCTGAGGTTCGTGGAGAGGGCCATGGAAGGCGTTGGGTTGGGCCCGCGCGTGGTCGAGGGAGAGGTCTTCAAGCTGCGCGTCGTGCACGGAGCGGGGCCCGCTGTGGGGTTGCACAACGGGCGGCGAGATGCGGGGATCAGCGGGTGAAGGTCACGGGGGGTTACTTTGATTTTAGTTTGGAATTCGTTTGTTTCACCAGGTCAGAACGGAAGCCGTGACCCGGGTGACCCAAATTACAAAATCAGAGTGGAAACAAGCAAATATAAATGAACCAAAATATATATTTTTTGTGTTAGATCGCGCCAATATAAATGTGTCGTTAAACCCGACACCACCGGCCAATTAGTAAAGCGTGCCAATTCCTTACTAGTTAAGCACACCGGTGTGTTGGAGAGTAAACCCACAACATTTACATTTTATATTTACGCGATATAACCCAAAACCGTCTATAATGGATAATATTGGTCGCGAAAGCCAACTACGTGTTAGACAGAAATCAACCAAACAGAAATCCGCGCAAAAACAACGGCGTTACAGAAGAACCTTAAAACAGTAGAGGAACAGACATCGTCGTTTTTGTGTTTCTTCAATGAAGGGGGCTCGAACAAATCTCTTCAGTATCCAATAAAAGTACAATCCGTTCATTCATTATGCCACTGAGATACCAAGGTGGTTGTAGGAGTGTGTGGCCGCTGATGGCTCTCGCCCTCGGCCATCATAATCGCCTCCTCTCCGCGGCCTCCCACAGAGAGCCCCGGCTCACAGCGTGACATCAAAGCCAATTATGTTTGGTTTATTCTCAGAGCTGAGAATTCTCCAAACTCAGCGATCATTTGTGATCGGGCCGAGGACCGTCGACTCACTGCGCTCGAGAACCCGGTTTCATCACAGGCGGTGACATCTGGATTCGAACCTAGGGTCTCAGCACTCTGACCTCTGACCCACCCGGTCACCTCCATAACAAATCCCACAACTTCTGCCAGACGGCTCAGCGGCAAAGAGCAGGCGGCTCGCAATCGGAAGCGTGCGAGTCAAATCCAAGTTGGGGGTGAACTCAATCGATCATCCCTCAGGGGGTCGATAAAATAGGTGTACCTGTGCGGCGAAGTCAACGGCGGGCTCGTCTAATAAACAAGACTCGTCACAGGAATGAGAAATGCCAACGACAGCCTCGGGGCTGTGAACGGGAGATGAACACCGTCTCGATGTGCACCGAGGAGCCCCGGACTCGAACCCAGGCTTCTCAGCGGTGTCGGTTCAGCGCTCTCTGATCCCCCTTGAGCGATAATCTCTTGGACCGCTCACGACGCCCGGAGCGACGGTTCCGCAACAAGTCGGGGCCCTGCGATCATGCTCACCGCGCGGTATATTTTAGGGACGCGTCGGCGTGCGGAATCCGCCTGATGCGACTCAAGCAATTAGCGACCAGTAATAGGCCCCGACAAGTGGGTGGCTGTGGGTTAGAGACAGCAGCAGGCGGAACACGGGGGGCTGGGGCGAGGGGGTGGATAGTGGTGGGGTGGGGGGGAGTACGATAAAGAAAAAAAAATATATATAACGAGGCTCTAAAAATGTCAATTAAATGGTTTGCCAATTACCGAGACGTGGAAGTGGTTGCACTGCCAATTTTGTGTGATGGCCAATCCGGCTCACTCGTGGATGCCTTGCTGTTCCGCGCTATTGTTGCTGTGGTTGTTGTTGTTGTTGTCGTGTTGATTGGACACACAGTGCACGCTCGTGCGTGGTCTTAAATCTCCTCTCGCCGCGAGTTCGCGTCTCGTTCCACGGAACGGAAGCACTTGCCAGCTCCAGAGAGCCGAGAGGTGGCGCGCGCGTCTTCACGACACGTTGGTGGCAGCCGCTCCCCAGCCACGGCTCATGACGCAGGGGCGGGAGGTCGGGCGGGGTTGCGTCTTACGGCGCCCCCCACGGTGACGACGAGATGTCAACTACCTCGCCCGGTATACAGGAGGTCGTGGGTTTGATCCCGACCCTGACGCCTGCTGTATACTTGGAGTGTGCGTGTCTCTCTCTCTCTCATCATCATCACCGTGGCGACGAGATGTTAACTACCTCGCCTGGTAACAGGAGGTCGTGGGTTTGATCCCGACCCTGACGCCTGCTGTATACTTGGAGTGTGCGTGTCTCTCTCTCTCTCATCATCATCACCGTGGCGACGAGATGTTAACTACCTCGCCTGGTATACAGGAGGTCGTGGGTTTGATCCGGACCCTGACACCTGCTGTATATTTGGAGTGTGCGTGTCTCTCTCTCTATTTCTGGGTCCTCCGTTTTTTTTCCTCTCCACATTTTCTAAACCAGCCTTTAGGGCAACTTGGCTGTTATGGATTTCCTCGCGATGATGATAATGGGCCGTCCATAGATGACGTCACGCGATTTTGGACGATTTTGACCCCCCCCCCCTCGTCACACGGCGTCACAAAAAGTCAGACCCCCCCTCAAATATGACGTCACAAAGCTCTGCCCCCCGCCCCCCCCCCCCAAAAAAAATATAAAACATGCTTGAAATCGCTTTCAACTGTTGTCATTGTAGTGCGTGTTTAATGTGGCGCTGCACTCTGATGTTGTAGGAGAAAACATTTATTAAAAAGTTTATTTGATTAAGTAGAACGTGTTGTCTATATTTTTTTAAGTTGCGCATTTTGATGTGACGTCACATTCCACAAACCCCCCCCCCCCTCGTCACACATCGTCACAAATGTCTGACCCCCCCCCCCCCCCAGGTGCGTGACGTCATTTATGGACGGCCCCTAAGCCACTTCGTTGAGCTATCATTTGTGATGGCCAGGTAGCTTCTGGAAGAAGAAGAAAACAAGAGATATATAGCTCACCTTACCTGGTCAAACAAAAACAAATCACTTTAACAGTTCGCACTCCGGCTAATCACGCTGCCGTGAATCTGTGCATGGTGACGCGACTCCTGTTGGGGGAGGGTGGGCGGTGAGTGGGGGGAGGAGGAGGTGGGGGGTGGCAGCCGAGTCCGGCGCTGCCGACAGAGGGCACCACGCGACCTCACGAAGCTCACCAAGCCGGGGGGCGTGGAACCTTGTTTTCTGCCAAGGGCCATTTGGATATTTAGAACATCATCATTCGCGGGCCATGCAAAATTATCAACTTAAAAATGTGCCTGTTATATTTGGTCAAGCATTTAATTAACTCACCCATAATGCGATGGCTGGAACTGCTTCTCTTTGGTGAGGCATGTGATGATGTTAGCTGGTATTGATGATGTTAGCTGGTATTGATGATGTTAGCTGGTATTGATGATGTTAGCTGGTGTTGACGATGTTAGCTGGTATTGATGATGTTAGCTGGTATTGACGATGTTAGCTGGTATTGATGATGTTAGCTGGTATTGATGATGTTAGCTGGTGTTGACGATGTTAGCTGGTGTTGACGATGTTAGCTGGTATTGACGATATTAGCTAGCATTGACAATGTTAGCTGGTATTGATGATGTTAGCTGGTATTGATGATGTTAGCTGGTATTGATGATGTTAGCTGGTATTGATGATGTTAGCTGGTATTGACGATGTTAGCTGGTATTGACGATGTTAGTTGGTATTGATGATGTTAGCTGGTATTGACGATGTTAGCTGGTATTGACGATGTTAGCTGGTATTGATGATGTTAGCTGGTATTGACGATGTTAGCTGGTATTGATGATGTTAGCTGGTATTGATGATGTTAGCTGGTATTGATGATGTTAGCTGGTATTGATGATGTTAGCTGGTATTGACGATGTTAGCTGGTATTGACGATGTTAGCTGGTATTGATGATGTTAGTTGGTATTGATGATGTTAGCTGGTGTTGATGATGTTAGTTGGTATTGATGATGTTAGCTGGTATTGATGATGTTAGTTGGTATTGATGATGTTAGCTGGTATTGATGATGTTAGCTGGTATTGATGATGTTAGCTGGTATTGATGATGTTAGTTGGTATTGATGATGTTAGCTGGTGTTGATGATGTTAGTTGGTATTGATGATGTTAGCTGGTATTGATGATGTTAGCTGGTGTTGATGATGTTAGTTGGTATTGATGATGTTAGCTGGTGTTGATGATGTTAGTTGGTATTGATGATGTTAGCTGGTATTGATGATGTTAGTTGGTATTGATGATGTTAGCTGGTATTGATGATGTTAGCTGGTATTGATGATGTTAGCTGGTATTGATGATGTTAGTTGGTATTGATGATGTTAGCTGGTGTTGATGATGTTAGTTGGTATTGATGATGTTAGCTGGTATTGATGATGTTAGCTGACTATTGATGATGTTAGCTGGTGTTGATGATGTTAGCTGGTATTGATGATGTTAGCTGGTATTGACGATGTTAGCTGGTATTGACGATGTTAGCTGGTATTGATGATGTTAGTTGGTATTGATGATGTTAGCTGGTGTTGATGATGTTAGTTGGTATTGATGATGTTAGCTGGTATTGATGATGTTAGCTGGTATTGATGATGTTAGCTGGTATTGATGATGTTAGCTGGTATTGATGATGTTAGTTGGTATTGATGATGTTAGCTGGTGTTGATGATGTTAGTTGGTATTGATGATGTTAGCTGGTATTGATGATGTTAGCTGGCTATTGATGATGTTAGCTGGTGTTGATGATGTTAGCTGGTATTGATGATGTTAGCTGGTGTTGATGATGTTAGTTGGTATTGATGATGTTAGCTGGTATTGATGATGTTAGCTGGTATTGATGATGTTAGCTGGTATTGATGATGTTAGCTGGTATTGATGATGTTAGCTGGTATTGATGATGTTAGCTGGTATTGATGATGTTAGCTGGTATTGATGATGTTAGCTGGTATTGATGATGTTAGCTGGTATTGATGATGTTAGCTGGTATTGATTATGTTAGCTGGTATTGATGATGTTAGCTGGTGTTGATGATGTTAGCTGGTATTGATGATGTTAGCTGGTATTGATGATGTTAGCTGGTATTGATGATGTTAGCTGGTATTGATGATGTTAGCTGGTATTGATGATGTTAGCTGGTATTGATGATGTTAGCTGGTGTTGATGATGTTAGCTGGTATTGATGATGTTAGCTGGTATTGATGATGTTA